ATAAACAACCGTTTTCTCGAGCCAAGTACCGCCCCTGGACACCTTCCTCGGACTCGCACGAACGGGGACCATAAAGTACTTAGTGCAGAGTGGTGTCCGGAGCTCCTGTGGGGCGTGTGAAGGAACCACTCACCGTCGGACGCTTCGGAGGCAAGACAGGACTACGCCTCCGTTCCGTAAGGTCGATTCCGCCGCCGTAACGAATGCACGGATGACCCCTACGTGCTGTTGGGGTTTAGTCGGTAAAAAAAAAAGAGAGAAAATTCCGGCCGTCTAAACACTGGCGTTTGGACTCTCCACTCACGCCCGCCCATCCCTTTCCCCCTCTCCCACGCCCCACCCCCTTCCCTCTGCGCCGCCTCCTCCCCGCCACCAACCGCCCATCCCTCCTCTCTACAACACGCCCACCCTCGCCCCTCTAAACTGGCCACCCTCCGCCATACCGCCCACCCCTTCCTCTCCCCCGCCCATCCCATTTCCCCTCTCCCACGCCCATCCCCTTCCCTCTGCGCCGCCTCCTTCCCCGCCCCCAAACCGCCCATCCCTCCTCTCAACAACACGCCCACCCTCGCCCCCCTCTACACCGGCCGCCCCTCCGCTCATACCGCCCCCCCTCTCCCGTTCCTCTCACCCCTTCTCCCTTCCTCCACCCCTTCCCCCCCTCCGCCCACGTCCATCCACCCGACGCCCCTTCCCCCCCCACCCCTTCCCCTCCTCCGCCCACGCGCCATCCACCCGACGCCCCTCTACCACCGGCCGCCCTCCGCTCACCCCTTCCTTCCCTCCGCCCACCCCTTCCTCACTCCACACCCCCCGCCCCCTCCGCCCACCCATTCCCCTCCTCGCGCCCACGCCCATCCACCCGACGCCCCTCAGCACCTCCGCCACTCGCTCACGTTACAAGTTACGGCCGCCGCTCATGTAGCTACACACTTTTTAAGCGCGCGGGGAACGGAAGGAGAAAGGGAGGGAGAAGGGAACGAGTAGAGAGCGAGAGAAGAAGGGAAGAAGGGAGAGAAGAAAACAGGGAGAAAGGAAGGGAGAAATTCAGAGAGAAGGGAGGGAGAAAGGAAGAAGGAAGGGAGAAGTGGAGAAGGAAGGGAGAAAGGAAGGAGAAAAGAAACGGACGGAGAAGGAGGGAGACAGAGAACGAGCAGAAGGGAGGGATAAGGATGAGAGAGGGGCCCTTTGCATCGCCAAAGGTCATCGCTTCCAGCCCGGCGGCGGCGGCGACGGAGGGCATCCGAGGGCGCGGATGACCTGAGGGCGAAACGCGGCTGGTCTGGTCGTGCATCGGAGGATTTGGGCATTTGGGGCGAAGGGAGTTTCTGCTTCACCCTCTCGACTGCTTGTTTGTATGCAGAAACGGGCGTGTCTGCGTGTTCGAGTGTTTTTTTTTATTTTGACACGCTTATTTGAGACAAAAGTAAAATTATATCTCAAAGGATGAGGTTGTGTGTGTGTGTGTTCGAGTGTGTCATGTGTGGTGTATGTGTGTGGTGTGTGTGTGTGTGTGTGTGGTGTGTAGTTGTGTGTGTGTCGTGTGTGTGTGTGTGTGTGTGTGTGTGTGTGTTGTGTGTTTATTGTGTGTGTGTGTGTTGTGTGTGTGTTCGATGTGTGTGTTGTGTATGTTGTGCGTGTGTGGTGTGTGAGTGTCTTAAAAAACATCTGTTAGGCTTCATAAGGCAGCTGGAGTGATTATACATGTGTTATGTATATTATATATATATGCATGAGTGTGTGTATATAACTTAACGCTCTCCCCCCCCCCCCCATCCCCCCGTCCCTTCTATCCCTCCCCTCCTCTCGCTCCTTTCTTTCATCCCCTCCTATCCCTGCGATCAACAATCAATCGATTAAACCCATCCGTCCGATTAAATAAAGGAACAAAAACAAAAACAAAAAATAATTGCTCGATCTCATAGCGAAGCGCGAGAGGTCTGTCCGACACACCCGTCTCTCTCGCCCAGATTAAGATTCCCACGGATTCAGAAGGGGGGGGGGGGGTGGAGGGAGGGGGGGGGAGTAAGGAGGGGGGTGTCCCACGGATTCAGAAGGGAGGGGTGGAGGGAGAGGGGGGTGATAGGAGGGGGGTGTCCCACGGATTCCAGAAGGGGGGGGTGGAGGGAAGAGGGGAGGGGGTGAGGAGAGGGGGGATGTCCCCACTGTTTCAAGAAGGGGTGGAGGGAGGGCTGGAGGGCTTGGGAGGGTTTCAGCTGTTGCATCGTTTCGTCTTCTCCTTTTCTGTTTTATTGTTTCATTTACCTTTCGTGTGGCTGTGTTCTTTTCCTTTTGCGTGTCCTGGTCATCTTTGCTTCTCTCGTTATGTTTGTATAAACATCGAGAAAGTAAAAAGAGAAAAAAAGGGAGAAAGGGATGGAGAATAATATGGAAATATAGCAAAAGACATAAATCGACAGAAGGAGAGGATAAGAGGAAGAGATGAGAGAAAGTGAATAGAAACGAGGATTGATTTGGGTGAAGATATATAGACAGCTAGTCAGACAAAGACAGCGATGAAAAAGAGTGAGAGACGGGGAAACACATACACACACACACACACACAACACACACACACCACACACACACACACACATACACACACACACACACACCCACACAACATACACACACACCAGACACACACATACATACATCACACACACACACACACAACACACACACACACACACACACACACACAATTATATATATAGATATATATATATATATATATATATATATATATATATAGATATATGAGAGAGAGAGAGAGAGAGAGAGAGAGAGAGAGAGAGAGAGAGAGAGTTAGAAAGAGAAAGAGGGGAAATGAGAGACAGAGGCACAGAGAGTAAAAGAACAGACAGACAGACACGGAAAAAAGAAAGAGAACTCAGTCGAGAGAAAGAAAACAAAACAAAACAAAAAGAAATGAAAAGAAGTAGCGAAAAAAAGGATCCGAAGCGGAGATCAGGTGCGGACAGCTGTAAGAGAAACCCGAAACAGGTGGTTTTCGTCAGGCCTTCGGGGAAGCTACGGCGGCGGCTGCGCAGGTGGGGCCGTGTGCCAGGCTTACGAGGAGTGTCCGTGGGTGAGTGTCCGTGGGTGAGAGCGTCCGTGGGTGAGAGCGTCCGTGGTGAGGTGTCCGTGGGTGAGAGTGTCCGTGGCAGAGAGTGTCCAGAGTGTCCGTGGGTGAGAGTGTCCGTGGGAGAGTGGTCCGTGGGTGAGTGTCCCGTGGGTGAGAGTCGTCCGTGGTCGTGGAGTGAGCGTGGGTGAGAGTGTCCGTGGGTGAGAGTGTCGTGGGTGAGAGCGTCCGTGAGAGTGTCCGTGGGTGAGAGGTTGTGTGGTGAGAGTGTCCGTGAGGGGTTGAGAGTGTCCGTGGGTAGAGTGTGTCCGTGGGTGAGTGTCCGTGGGTGAGTGGGTGAGAGCGTCCGTGGGTGAGAGTGTCCGTGGGTGAGAGTGTCCGTGGGTGAGAGCGTCCGTGGGTGAGAGTGTCCGTGGGTGAGTGTCCGTGGGTGAGAGTGTCCGTGGTGGGTGAGTGTCCGTGGTGAGTGGTCGTGGGTGAGAGTGTCCGTGGGTGAGAGGTCGTGGGTGAGTGTCCGTGGGTGAGAGTGAGAGTGTCCGTGGGTGAGTGTCCGTGGTGAGAGCGTCGTGGGTGAGAGCGTCCGTGGTGAGAGTGTCCTGGGTGAGTTCCGTGGGTGAGTGTCCGTGGGTGAAGTGGTGGTGTCCGTGGGTGAGAGTGTCCGTGGGTGAGAGCGTCCGTGGGTGAGAGTGTCCGTGGGTGAGAGCGTCCCGTGGTGAGAGTGTCCGTGTGTCGTGGGTGAGAGTGTCCGATGGGTTAGAGTGTCCGTGGGTGAGAGCGTCCGTGGGTGAGAGTGTCGTGGGTGAGTGGTGTCCGTGGGTGAGAGCGTCCGTGTGGGTGAGAGTGTCCGTGGGTGAGAGTGTCCGTGGGTGAGAAAGTCCGTGGGAGAGAGTGTCCGTGGGTGAGAGTGTCCGTGGGTGTCCGTGTGGTGAGAGTGTCGTGGGTGAGAGTGTCCGTGGGTGGAGAGTGTCCGTGAGAGGGTGAGAGTGTCCGTGGGTGAGAGTGTCCGTGGCGAGAGCGTCCGTGGAGAGTGTCCGTGGGTGAGAGTGTCCGTTGGTGAGAGTGTCCGTGGGTGAAGAGTGCCGTGAGAGAGTGTCCCTGGTGAGAGTGTCCGTGGTGAGAGTGTCCCGTGGGTGAGAGTGTCCCTGGGTGAGAGCGTCCCGTGGCGAGAGCGTCCGTGGGTGAGAGTGTCCGTGGGTGAGAGCGTGTCCGTTGGGTGAGAGTGTCCGTGGGTGAGAGTGTCCGTGGGTGAGAGTGTCCGTGGGTGAGAGCGTCCGTGGGTAGAGTGTCCGTGGGTGAGAGTGTCCGTGGGTGAGAGTGTCCGTGGGTGTCGTGGTGAGAGCCGTGGGTGAGGAGTGTCCGTGGGTTGAGAGGTCCGTGGGTGAGGTGAGAGTGTCCGTGGGTGAGAGTGTTCCGTGGGTGAGAGCGTCCGTGGTGAGAGTGTCCGTGGGTGAAGAGTGTGCCGTGGGTGAGAGTGTCCGTGGGAGAGTGTCCGTGGGTGAGAGTGTCCGTGGTGAGGAGTGTCCGTGGGTGAGAGTGTCCGTGGCAGAGAAGTGCGTCCGTGGGTGGAGCGTCCGTGGGTGAAGTGTCCGTGGGTGAGAGTTTCTGTGGGTGAGTGTCCCGTGGGTGAGTGTCCGTGGGTGAGAGTGTCCGTGGGTGAGTGTCCGTGGGTGAGAAGTGTCCGTGGCGTGAGAGTGTCCCTGGGTGATGAAAGTCCGTGGGGAGAGTGTCCGTGGGTGAGTGTCCGTGGGCTGAGAGTGTCCGTGGGTGAGAAGTGGTCCGTGGGTGAGAGTGTCCGTGGGTGAGAGTGTCCCGTGGCAGAGAGTGTCTGTGGGTGAGATACGTCCGTGGCAGAGAGTGTCCGTGGGTGAGAGCGTCCGTGAGGGTGAGAGTGTCCCGTGGGTGAGGGTGTGAGAGCGGTCCCGTGAGGGTGAGAGGTGTCCGTGGTGAGAGGAGAGTGTCCGTGGGTGAGAGTGTCCGTGGGCAAGAGTGTCCGTGGTGTCCGTGGGTGAGAGCGTCCCGTGGAGAGAGTGTCCCGTGGGCTGAGAGTGTCTGTGGGTGAGAGCGTCCGTGGCAGAGAGTGTCCGTGGGTGGATGACGCAGCGTCCGTGGGTGAAGTGTCCGTGGCAGAGAGCGTCTGTGGGTGAGAAAAGTCCTGGGAGAGTGTCCAGTTGGGTGAGAGTGTCCGTGGTGAGAGGTTCCTGTGGGTGAGAGCGTCCGTGGCAGAGAGTGTCCGTGGGTGAGAGCGTCCGTGGGTGAGAGCGTCCGTGGGTGAGAGCGTCCGTGCGTCCGTGGGTGATGGGTGAGCGTCCGTGGGTGAGAGCGTCCGTGGGTGAGAGCGTCCCGTGGGATGAGAGCGTCCCGTGGGTGAGAGTGAGAGTGAGAGGTCCGTTGAGAGCGTCCGTGGGTGAGAGCGTCCGTGGGTGAGAGTGTCCGTGGCAGAGAGGGCATGTAGTTTTTTTTCGAATCGAGGGTCCATTGTATATGTAAACGTACAGACAGGGGGTTGTTTGTGTGTGTACCATGGCAGAGCGGGCATGTAGCTTTTTCGAATCGAGGGTTTAATGTGTATTTACACGTACAGACGGGTGTGTGTTTGTGTATTTGTTTGTGTGTGTGCGTGTGTGTAATTGCACGAACACCACATATCTTTCGTCCGTTCTATCATGAAATAGAGAAATACGAGAATCACTCACAGAGCGCATACCGCCGCCAAGGCAATAGGGTCACTGACGCAATAAAAAAATATTTACACTTCAAGAATGACATTAAAATCACCTCTTCTCAAGTACAAGAGAATGAACGTCGTCCGTAAATCTAACCCCCTTGCCGGAAGTAATAAAGGTAATGGTAATAATGGTTACTTCTATTACCAAAGCAAAAGGGGTAACTATTTAAAACCCTTTAAAAAAACTATTTATTACCACCATAAATCTAACGTCATCATATTTTGGCCAAGACACGCCTCTGATTAAAAAAAAAAAAAAAAAAAAAAAATCTGTTCATAACTGTCTGAGATATTCTGCTAACCATCTAACAAACAAACACACTAACCAACCCCACCAAGAGCATAACCTCCTTGGGCGTCGGTAACAACCCAGAGCTCCTATTAGCGAAATAAAATATAATAATACGACCCATTTCGAAGAAGCCATTAGCCTATTTTTTTCTCGTTATGTAAACACCTGTCTTTCAATTTCAGAGACAAGGTGTGTCCCTTAGTGGGTGGAAAGAGGAAAATTAGCAACAAAAGATCAAACGGCTAAATGAATCAAAAATAAGTGAGGGGAGAGGAGGCGCAGGCAGAGAGGGAGAGAGAGAAGAGACCGAGGGGAGAGAAGAGAGGAGAGACGAGAGAGAGAGAGACGAGCCGAGAGTCTCACGAGAGACGCACACGTACGAGAGAGCCAAAACGAGCCAGATGAGAGAGCAGAGACGAGAGAGAGAGAGAGTGAAGAGGGAGGGAAGAAAAGGAGAAGAGCGGATGGAGGTGTACGGAAAGGATGAGAGGGACCTGAGGGAGGGTAGAGGGGGGAGGGAAAGGGAAGATGAGAGGGAGAGGGAGGGAGGGACAGAGGAAGAGGGGGAAGGAGGGAGAGAGGAGGAGAGGCAAGGAGAGGAAAGGCGAGTGAAGGGAGGGAGAGCGGGAGGGGAAGGACTAAAGGAAAGACAAGGCGGGAGCGAGACCAGAAGACGAGAGCGAGAAAAGGAAAGAGGAGAAGAAGAAGACTGAGAGCAGACGTGAGGGCCGCGAGAGGCACGAAGAGAGGAGGGGAAGAGAAGAGGAGAAGGCAGCAGGCAGGAGGGTACACGGGAAAGATCGGACAAAGGAGGCCAG